TTGCAAAAAAGTCTCTCTGTCCTTTCCTTAGAGGGACTTGGTTCTACTTTAGCACCTATCTGTCCCACGATAGGAGCTTCTACCGGTTTAAAGGAGGAGACTGAGCAATTGGCTTTGACATCTCCCACTCGCGCTGCTTCTGTCTAAGAGCAAGTCTTTTAGTTGCAACTAGTGCTGGATTTGGCTCGTTGCTACAGCTAGAAGCTATGTGCCCATCTTCTCCGCACTTAAAACAGTATCCAGGCTTTGGTCTGGGCACCACTGCTGTTATCTGCTGAATCTGTTTGGGCTCATCTGGAATTTTAGTCCCCACACGGGGTTTTGACTCTTTTTGAGTTTTCTTTGCCTTTTTATCTGTGTTGTTAACCTTAAGCTGTGCAATTTGGCTCCTGAGCTCAGCGATTTGTTTGCGTAAGTCATCACAGTTATCATCTATTTCCAGTTCACAAGTGTTTTTACTCTGAGAGCATGTTGTTTGCACATTTGAATACACTCTAGTTCGTTGTGCCCCTAAGTGTTGTTTCATGCGTGCTGCTTTAGTAGCCTGTTTGTCTTCTTCAGTGCGCAGTTTGAGGAGAAGTGCTGTAAAATGAGGCGGGTTGTCTTTCTTTTGTTCGAGTTGCAGGTTTGAAATCAGCGAGCTGTCCCAACAGCCTCTGCAAAACTGCTTGAGCAGCTGCTGGTCGGCGTCACTGGAGGAAATTCCATTCCTCTGAATAACTAGGTTTAACAAGGTGTATAACCTCTGAAAGTAATCGGAAGGTTTTTCACCACTGTCCTGGTTTGTGTTTAAGAAGCGAGCAAAGAGCTCGTCGCCGTCTTCGACAGCTGCGTAAGCTGAATCGAGATGTTCAAGGTACGTTTCCGGGTCGGATTTTGGACTAAGAGCTTTAACGATGCTCGCTGCTGGGGCTGACAGACTCTCCACGATTCTTCGTACAATTTGGGACTTGGTGAGTGAAGGATCATTTATGCATAACACTACACTACTACGCCAAGTATCATAGTCAGTTTCAAAAGAAGGGTGTGGAACTCGCCCTGAGAACGGTTTTAGTCTGTATTGTGAAGTAGGCGGAGGGATAACCTCACTGCTTTTAACAATGTGTTCCACAATAACTCGCTGAACCTCAGGTGTGTTTAAAAGATTTGGTGGAATGCAAGGGTTTTGTTTTCCAGTCTCTGTAGGTGGACAATTGTCCTTTGAGTTGTTCATATAGTTAACTTCTGGTGTTAAAGGCAGGGAATATGTAACTTGGTCACTATGGAGCATTGGCTCTGGTTCAGTGACTGGTTCAGATGCATGGGTATCCCTTCCTAAAGATTCCCCAATTTTTGCCAGTTCCTCCATTAGAAGGTCTTTAAATGATTGATTGCTACGCGCAGCTATGTCCCTGAGCTCTGACAGATAGGCATCAGTGGCAGATGTGCTAGTTTCTAGACTGTACGCGCTGGCTAGGTCTTGAATATGGAAGAAAACATCTGGGTTCCTAGTACAAGGTTTGTCATAGGGTAAACATTGTTTCTTTAATTCCTTAACAGTGGCTTCATGTTGAAACTCCACAATAATCTGATCACAGTTTGGTAACTTAATGCGCCTGTTAACTGGTCCGAATCCTTCCATAAACCCAAAGACTTCGTTATCAAGGTCTGTATCAGTTAACCCACTGATTAAAACAGCATTTGAAACTTTGACCTTTTCTGTTTTCACAACTTCCATTTTAAAACACTCAAAAGTACCAATAATGCCAAAATGGCAAACCACTGTGACCTCCAGGCACTCTTATGATGTCAGTCAATGGTTAGCTAAGGTAACAACTCTACAATTCTCCTGGCTGGCTCGCCAAGTTTTATGTAACCGGATTACAGGATACAATAAGATAATTAAAAGAAAAAATAAACAAATGGGCCAATAATTAGGTTCGGGGAGAATTGGAGGTTGTTTAAGAATGACTGGAGTCACAGGTATAGCATGAAACGGTTTATATACTAAATTTTAATAATAATGGGAAATATAACACATAAAGATAACACACAAAAACAGATGAAAACAATCGACAATAGTAAAATGGTCGGGATGAGATTTGGTCATATGAGTCACAAGTCAGCCGGCGTCAAGTCAAATCCCCACGCTTGGGGTGAAAGTCAGAGTCCGGTGGTGCGATTTTTTCCTACCACACCGTTGAGATTGTTCACAGAAGAGAGCAGTCTGCTCTTCAGTTACTTGAGATGTCCTGGTTCGTTCAGTGGTTAAGGCTCGCCATCTCCCTCGTCAGGAAGAAATCCAGTTCTCGTTCCAAGTGAGTGATCATAGGAGTCGGGATCAAACCCAAGGAAAAAAAAAAAACCCAGCCAACGCGCTCCAACGGTTCCCTCCTACAGAGGATTGGTTCACTCTGTCGTCTCCACACAAATCGCGTTGGTTCCAAGTTCCTAGCTCTTATTAGAAGGAGTCAAGTCCGCCTCTCCCTCTATCTATGCGGCACCCAAATCAGGGTTCTTCACGGCCTCGACCGTTGTTTTTTTTTCTCTCTCTCTCTCTCTCTAACCGCTCAGTCTTTGCTTTCTGTATCTGCGTGCTGCACAGCCGTTTGTCTCTCCTCTCGCTCAGCTGCGTCGCACGGTTTTATTTCGCGGAGGCGGGACTTATTTCTCTCAGCCAATGAAATTTCAGATTCCCACCTGGACCAATAGTATACAGCTTTCCTCTTCTGTTTCTGTTAGGGATGTTCAAGATTCTTGTTTTAACCGATGTTTAATATTAAACTCGTTATTTTAGTTATTCACCCTTCCAATAATTCATTATGAAATTATCTATTAGTTAATTAGATATCTATTAATTAGTATTGTTAATTTCCTTAATTTATATTTTATCTAAATTGAGGATGGATCATATTAGTAAGCCAATTAGTTAATACCTCATTAAGGTTCTAGCTTCTGGGTTACAATAACAAATAATCAGTTTCTGAATTCTTGCTGCCATCATGCTTTATGGTGTAAAGGCTGATTTATCAAAGCATTAATGCTTTATGGGCTTTAAACGTTACCAGTTGGAACAGAACTGCCAACACTAAATCACCTTAATGACCCTTCTTTAAAAAACTGTTGGGTAACTTCAACAAAGTCAAACACATCATGGTAATTTCATAGCATTCCACTTAGAATTCACCCAGCTCAACAGCTCTGTGAAGCTGACCCCCCCACCCCCCCACCCCACCCCCAGCTTCAAAAGGGAGGGAAACAGGCTGCTCGGTTAGTGCTTCGTTTGTGCAGGTAAAATTTCCGTTTGTGCTGAAACGGTTTCTGAGATATTACGAGTTTTATTTTTGCATGATGACATCATCAAATTCCCAAGCTGCTCCAAAATGGACCACATTAGTCTACTTTTTTAGTGCTTTGTTTGTGCTGATTTGTGCAGGTAAAATTTCCGTTTGTGCTGAAACAGTTTCTGAGATATTACGAGTTTTATTTTTGCATGATGACATCATCAAATTCCCAAGCTGCTCCAAAATGGACCACATTAGTCTACTTTTTTAGTGCTTTGTTTGTGCTGATTTGTGCAGGTAAAATCTTCGTTTGTGCTGCAACGGTTTCTGAGATATTACACATTTCCAAAATCAAAAAATGACAATAATTTTAGTGGACATGTATTACATACATTATATTTAGTACAAATTCACAAATCCAATCTTTTTTTTGCAGCTATACATTTAATTTTGTTGTGGCTGAGGAATAGTGACTCTTAAATTGTAAAGTTGAGTGAAACACGACTTTGGTAATAAGATCAACACAATAAATATGGCAAATTTATTGAAAGAAAAATATAACCTTTAAGTTTATAGAGGTGAAATTGAGTTTGAAAAGCAAATATACTTTAGGCCAGTGTTTTTCAACCCTGGTCCTCAAAGCACACTGTCCAGGGAGTTTTCAGGTTTTCCCTCATTCAGCACAGCTGATTTCAATTGATGGTTGATTAACAAGCTTTTGCTGAACTGCAGTCAGCTGAATGGGGCGTGTTAAGGCAGGGAGAATACAAAAACATGCAGGGCAGTGTGCCTTGAGGACCAGGGTTGAAAAACACTGCTTTAGACTGACAAAGGAAAGAGCACAAAAGTGACTTGATTTGATGATGTCATCATGCAAAAATAAAACTCGTAATATCTCAGAAACCGTTACAGCACAAACATCAATTTTACCTGCACAAATCAGCGCAAACGAAGCACTAAAAAAGTAGACTAATATGGTCCATTTTGGAGCAGTTTGGAGCAGTCCGGGGGGACGGTGACCTCTGAATGACCTATTAAAATAAAGTTTAATATCTCAGAAACCATAGCAGCACAAACGTCAATTTTACCTGCACAAATCAGCACAAACGAAGCACTAGCCGAGCAGCCTATTTGCCTGCACTTTTGAAGTGATGGGGGGTCAGCTTCACAGAGCTGTCACAATGCACTGGTACATGGATTAAGAGATGCAGAGAACAGATCTACTGTTTTAAGTGCTCCTTGATTCTTTTGTCTCTGTATCATGACTCAGCAGTCTGGAAAAATCTAGTCTCACTTTAAAGCTCACTCCACCTGCTCTTAAGGTTTTCCTCTTGAATCTGTAAGAAACCATGAACTTTCCGGAGAAAGACGTTTTACGTGCTTTCAGTAGAGAACTTGTACACTCGGTGACTTGAGTGATCCACGTTACAAACGTGTGCGCTTTCAGGCAGTCACTCAGCAATAAAGAGGAATGATACACGACTAGTGTCCAGTTTTCCAGACACAAACACTCTGTGATCTCTCAGTCGGGAACATTTTGAACTGACAACATGACGACTACTGGGAGCAAATCCTGTTTTTGTGTCTGGCTTCATATTGTGTAAGGAATGATGTGAATGGAGGGAAGAAAAACACTGAACCAGAGCTGACATGTACATGACAAAAGATCTGACACACCCAGTGTGTAGCGGGATCTTTTTTTTCCTCAAGTGAGTCAAGTTTCATGTGTGGGTTTACCTGTAAGCCTAAAAACACACACAGGTACCAGGGTGGAGTGTCCTCTATGGTATAGATCATATCCATCCTCCTTGCATCCATACTGTCTGTGCTGTCAAGTGTCTCTGAAATAGAGCTCTAAAACACAAAAACATGGAGAAATCCCATCATGAATGCAGTACAATTATAACTAGGGATGTAAGAAAATATCGATATGGCAATATATCGTGATATTTTTCCCAGCAATATTATATCGATATTCAAAAGCCGTGTATCGGAAATATCGATATGGCAATATATCGTGATATTTTTTCCAGCAATAAAACATCGATATTCAAAAGCCGTGTATCTAATTCTTGAAAGAATTTAAAAGCAAACATTTGTGTATTTTCTTTTTGTTTTGTGCAATTCAATCGCCACCCGCTAGTTGGCAGCAGTGTGCGGCGGGTTTTGTTTCCACCATTGAAATGCAAATCCCTCCATCACGGTTCAGATACCTCATGTTAAACATGTAACGTATCAGATTTGACTGTTTATTGAACATTCTTACAATAGATTCAGTCAAAAAATTGCTTGTAACGTCTGGCTGAATGTATCGCAATATATCGTGATGTATCGTATCGTCTCCCCTGTATCGTGATATGTATCGTATCGCCAGAATTTCAAAAATACACATCCCTGATTATAACTGTTTTGTTTCTATAGCTTTGTAGAAATTGCAGAATAATCAATTTAGACTAAATTAGGGATGAGCAACAAGACAATGCTAGATGGTGAGGAAGTGTTTTAGCTCTCAAAAGCTGCATCTACAGAGCACCGTTTACCTAAACTCGACTGGGAAAAATGTAAAAACTTCATTAAATCGATTTAAAATTGGGAATTTCATTGTCTTGTATGCCTGTGTTTCACAAGGAGAAAAGGATAAGTTTACTAACAAATCTGTGAAATTATATTTTTTCCACAGCAACATAAAAAAAGAGAAAAATGCTAAATCACTGAAAAAACAGGGAAAGTTAAGTTAACATGCAGGTTTTTCAGTCTCAGACTATTTCTACACAAACTTAGACATTAGGACTCAAATGTCACCCAGTTTCAGCTACAAATAAGTCTCAAGAGTTTTGTAAGGCTAACTATTGCTGGTTTAAGAATACAAACATTGCTAGTTGGCCATCTAACAATGAACTTCGTAATCTATTGCATTTTTTTAGAAGAAGAAAAGATCATTTCTATAGCGTCTCTCAAGATAAAAATCACGAGGCGATTCACAAAAACAAAAAATGTAAAAATATAAAAATAATTTAGAAAATGATTAAAATATATTTAACATGAGCAAATAATAGACAATTGTGATAAAAAAAATGTAGAGAAAGAGAGGAAAGCGGGAAATCAGTGGATCCTGAGGAAGGTGGAATAGGTAAGGAGAGCAGAACAAGGAGAGGGTGATGAAGGTCACACCAAAACCAGCTTTAACAAGTGAGTTTTCAGCTGCTTTTTAAAGGAGACCACTGAGTCCACTGATCTCAGGCTCAGGGGGAGAGAACTCCAGAGTCTGGGGGCCACAGCAGCAACTGATCTGTCACCTTTGGTCTTTAGCCTGGTGCGCAGCACCATTAATTCACCTTTATTGTTTCAGTTTGAACCTTTTTTAAAGTACTTTCGCCTGTTAGAAAATACAAACATCTCTGACTGCAGGCAAAGAATCCATCGTCAAAAACCTGCTAAATAAGTTACTACACGGTGGTTTGTCAATCATTTATAGAGCCCCGAACATCACGTGACTCTCGGAGAGTAGACGCCATGCTGGCAGGCAACAAAGGTAAACAAAATGAACTATGCTAGAGATTGCATTCCCAGGGATTTTTTACCCTAATGGCCATCCGTTGGTAAGGTCTTACTCCAACGCAAAAATACCACTTGCTTGCAATGATTTAGGTATGTACTGCCCCTTATCGCTAGGGAAAATACTAGGGATGTGTATTGATGAAATTATGGTGATACGATACGTATCAAGGACAGACGTATCACCATACAGAGGGAGACGAAACGATTTATCACGATACACTGCACTACATTCAGCCAAACAACACTGGCAATCTTTTTAGACTGAATTTATTGTAGGAAAATTAAATAAACTGTTCAAACTGATAGTAACATGTTTAGCATGAGGTATCTGAACCATAAACCGTCTCTTTTCTCATCACTTTTCAGACCTCCTTTGTGACTTTTTTCTCCTTAAGTGCCTACTTAGCGCACGGATCGTTCCGCTACCGTCCATCGTCCGTGACAAATGGCAAATGATAAACCTTTCACGGTCAACCTCACTCACTCAAAAACTGTTATCACAAAAAAATAAATAAATTCAAGCTACGGCTAGCCATATCTAAAGTGGATGTTTATCTTATCAGAGCTGCAAACTCTCACACAATGAGCACGAGACAGGCATTTGACTGTCTTCACTTGCTCTCACACCACACCTCCAAATTCTGAGGCTGGTAAATAATAATAGGTCATCTATCTGAGTGACTCATGGCATTGCGTTGCTGTACACAATCCCCTACGGCACCGTTGAACAGGACAAGATGACCATTATGCAGAAGGTTGCGGAAGTTCAATACAACATTTGTGTTTATTCGTTTTAGGGATGGACAATATATCGGCATCAATATCAGTATCTGCCACTGTTACTCATTTTTTAACATATCAATATCAGTTCAATAAATAAAAATGGGCCGATATTAATAACAGATATTTTTTTCCATCTCGTCTCCATTTGTTTGCCTGTTTCAGAGGGTGAGGGGGGTGATGTGTAATTGTTTAGTCATATGAACAGTGAATGAAATCTCAGAACTATAGATGTGTGTGTTGTGTGTACATAATAATGTAAATTCAGCTTTAATAATTTTCATTCTATACAAAATCTGCTGATTTTAGAAGCATTAATGTCAGTATATCTGTATTGGCAAATATTGGATATTGGTCATAACGGTGATCTTAATATCAGATATCGGTATTGGCCCAAAAATTTCATATCGGTGCATCACTAATACGTTTCTATTTTATTTTGCAAATGTTTTCACTGTAGTTCCCTTTTGTTATCAGTATTTGTGTTATCAACATTGAAGTTCATGTTAAATAATAAAGATCTTAATTTCAAACAAAATAATGGCGATTGTCATTTTTCACAATCAAAAGAGTCCTCATTTGAACCATTACCAGAGTATTAAATTGCTTGTAACGTCTGACTGAATGTATCGCAATATATCGTGATGTATCGTATCGTCTCCCCTGTATCGTGATAAGTATCGTATCGCCAGAATTTCAAAAATACACATCCCTGATTATAACTGTTTTGTTTCTATAGCTTTGTAGAAATTGCAGAATAATCCATTTAGACTAAATTAGGGATGAGCAACAAGACAATGCTAGATGGTGAGGAAGTGTTTTAGCTCTCAAAAGCTGCATCTACAGAGCACCGTTTACCTAAACTCGACTGGGAAAATGTAAAAACTTCATTAAATCGATTTAAAATTGGGAATTTCATTGTCTTGTATGCCTGTGTTTCACAAGGAGAAAAGGATAAGTTTACTAACAAATCTGTGAAATTATTTTTTCCACAGCAACATAAAAAAAGAGAAAAATGCTAAATCACTGAAAAAACAGGGAAAGTTAAGTTAACATGCAGGTTTTTCAGTCTCAGACTATTTCTACACAAACTTAGACATTAGGACTCAAATGTCGCCCAGTTTCAGCTACAAATAAGTCTCAAGAGTTTTGTAAGGCTAACTATTGCTGGTTTAAGAATACAAACATTGCTAGTTGGCCATCTAACAATGAACTTCGTAATCTATTGCATTTTTTTAGAAGAAGAAAAGATCATTTCTATAGCGCCTCTCAAGATAAAAATCACGAGGCGATTCACAAAAACAAAAAATGTAAAAATATAAAAATAATTTAGAAAATGATTAAAATATATTTAACATGAGCAAATAATAGACAATTGTGATAAAAAAAATGTAGAGAAAGAGAGGAAAGCGGGAAATCAGTGGATCCTGAGGAAGGTGGAACAAGGAGAGGGTGATGAAGGTCACACCAAAACCAGCTTTAATAGGTGAGTCTTCAGCTGCTTTTTAAAGGAGACCACTGAGTCCACTGATCTCAGGCTCAGGGGGAGAGAACTCCAGAGTCTGGGGGCCACAGCAGCAACTGATCTGTCACCTGTGGTCTTTAGCCTGGTGCGCAGCACCATTAATTCACCTTTATTGTTTCAGTTTGAACCTTTTTTAAATTACTTTCGCCTGTTAGAAAATACAAACATCTCTGACTGCAGGCAAAGAATCCATCGTCAAAAACCTGCTAAATAAGTTACTACACAGTGGTTTGTCAATCATTTATAGAGCTCCGAACATCACGTGACTCTCGGAGAGTAGACGCCATGTTGGCAGGCAACAAAGGTAAACAAAATGAACTATGCTAGAGATTGCATTCCCAGGGATTTTTTACCCTAATGGCCATCCGTTGGTAAGGTCTTACTCCAACACAAAAATACCACTTGCTTGCAATGATTTAGGTATGTACTGCCCCTTATCGCTAGGGAAAATACTAGGGATGTGTATTGATGAAATTATGGTGATACGATACGTATCAAGGACAGACGTATCACCATACAAAGGGAGACGAAACGATGTATCACGATACACTGCACTACATTCAGCCAAACAACACTGGCAATCTTTTTAGACTGAATTTATAGTAGGAAAATTAAATTAACTGTCCAAACTGATAGTAACATGTTTAGCATGAGGTATCTGAACCATAAACCGTCTCTTTTCTCATCACTTTTCAGACCTCCTTTGTGACTTTTTTCTCCTTAAGTGCCTACTTAGCGCATGGATCGTTCCGCTACCGTCCATCGTCCGTGACAAATGGCAAATGATAAACCTTTCACGGTCAACCTCACTCACTCAAAAACTGTTATCACAAAAAAATAAATAAATTCAAGCTACGGCTAGCCATATCTAAAGTGGATGTTTATCTTATCAGAGCTGCAAACTCTCACACAATGAGCACGAGACAGGCATTTGACTGTCTTCACTTGCTCTCACACCACACCTCCAAATTCTGAGGCTGGTAAATAATAATAGGTCATCTATCTGAGTGACTCGTGGTATTGCGTTGCTGTACACAATCCCCTACGGCACCGTTGAACAGGACAAGATGACCATTATGCAGAAGGTTGCGGAAGTTCAATACAACATTTGTGTTTATTCGTTTTAGGGATGGACAATATATCGGCATCAATATCGGTATCTGCCACTGTTAGTCATTTTTTAACATATCAATATCAGTTCAATAAATAAAACTGGGCCGATATTAATAACAGATATTTTTTTCCATCTCGTCTCCATTCGTTTGCCTGTTTCAGAGGGTGAGGGGGGTGATGTGTAATTGTTTAGTCATATGAACAGTGAATGAAATCTCAGCACTATAAATGTGTGTGTTGTGTGTACATAATAATGTAAATTCAGCTTTAATAATTTTCATTCTATACAAAATCTGCTGATTTTAGAAGCATTAATGTCAGTATATCTGTATTGGCAAATATTGGATATTGGTCATAACGGTGATCTTAATATCAGATATCGGTATTGGCCCAAAAATTTCATATCGGTGCATCACTAATACGTTTCTATTTTATTTTGCAAATGTTTTCACTGTAGTTCCCTTTTGTTATCAGTATTTGTGTTATCAACATTGAAGTTCATGTTAAATAATAAAGATCTTAATTTCAAACAAAATAATGGCGATTGTCATTTTTCACAATCAAAAGAGTCCTAATTTGAACCATTACCAGAGTATGAAATAAACGGCTCTGAAAAAGAAAACCAACAAGAACACACAAGCTGTTCAAAATGAACTTGTCACAATATTTAAAAAAATGAATGTGGAGGAGACGAACCCACAGGAAGCCACAGAAAGAGATGCTGACTGTGTCATTAAAACATCACGAGTGCGGTGTTTAAACCATGTGACCATCACTGAGTCAGTTTTGATTATTTAATGATCTTATCTGACTCATGTGGGATTTCCACAGTTTCCCTTTAATGTTACCCTTTCTGCTGCTTGATTATCCTTGGTGTAGATAGCCATCAGCTCCGTGTTCTCAGTATCCTGGTCTCCACTGGCACCTCCAACTCCATTTACCACCACCTAAATACACAAAAAAATACTTAACGTTGTGACACGCTTCTCCTCTCAGACACTTGAGGCAGTCGTAATTACGGTTTAAACAATGCGCTCAGATTTGGCATTCTATTATTATTATTATTATTATCACCTCGATTAAAACAACCTTGTGGAGATCAAACATTTTCTGACATTTGCATCCCTGAAGGACTACATGCAAATCGATGCGAGGATACAAATGAAGTCAATGGACTTACTCACGACTGACTTAACATACAGTGGGGCAAAAAAGTATTTAGTCAGCCACCGATTGTGCAAGTTCTCCCACTTAAAATGATGACAAAGGTCAGTAATTTACATCATAGGTACACTTCAACTGTGAGAGACAGAATGTGAAAAAAAATACATGAATTCACATGGCAGGATTTTTAAAGAATTTATTTGTAAATCAGGGTGGAAAATAAGTATTTGGTCACTTCAAACAAGGAAAATCTCTGGCTCTCACAGACCTGTAACGTCTTCTTTAAGAAGCTCTTCTGTCCTCCACTCGTTACCTGTATTAATGGCACCTGTTTAAACTCATTATCTGTATAAAAGACACCTGTCCACAGCCTCAAACAGTCAGACTCCAAACTCCACGAAGGCCAAGACCAAAGAGCTTTCGAAGGACAGCAGAAAAAGAATTGTAGACCTGCACCAGACTGGGAAGAGTGAATCTACAATAGGCAAGCAGCTTGGTGTGAAAAAACTAACTGTGCGAGCAATTATCAGAAAATGGAAGACATACAAGACCACTGATAATCTCCCTCGATCTGGGGCTCCACGCAAGATCTCATCCCGTGGGGTCAAAATGATCAAGAGAAAGGTGAGCAAGAATCCCAGAACCACACGGGGGGACCTGGTGAATGACCTGCAGAGAGCTGGGACCACAGTAACAAAGGTCACCATCAGTAACACACTACAACGGCAGGGAATCAAATCCTTCAGTGCCAGACGTGTTCCGCTGCTGAAGCCAGTGCATGTCCAGGCCCGTCTGAAGTTTGCCAGAGAGCACATGGATGATACAGCAGAGGATTGGGAGAATGTCATGTGGTCAGATGAAACCAAAGTAGAACTTTTTGGTATAAACTCAACTCGTCGTGTTTGGAGGAAGAAGAATACTGAGTTGCATCCCAAGAACACCATACCTACTGTGAAGCATGGGGGTGGGAACATCATGCTTTGGGGCTGTTTTTCCACTAAGGGGACAGGACGACTGATCCGTGTTAAGGACAGAATGAATGGGGCCATGTATCGTGAGATTTTGAGCCAAAACCTCCTTCCATCAGTGAGAGCTTTGAAGATGAAACGTGGCTGGGTCTTCCAACACGACAATGATCCCAAACACACCACCCGGGCAACAATGGAGTGGCTCCGTAAGAAGCATTTGAAAGTCCTGGTGTGGCCTAGCCAGTCTCCAGACCTCAACCCCATAGAAAATCTGTGGAGGGAGTTGAAAGTCCGTGTTGCTCGGCGACAGCCCCAAAACATCACTGGTCTCGAGAAGATCTGCATGGAGGAATGGGCCAAAATACCAGCTACTGTGTGCACAAACCTGGTAAAGACCTACAGTAATCGTTTGACCTCTGTTATTGCCAACAAAGGATATGTTACAAAGTATTGAGTTGAATTTTTGTTATTGACCAAATACTTATTTTCCACCCTGATTTACAAATAAATTCTTTAAAAATCCTGCCATGTGAATTCATGGATTTTTTTTCACATTCTGTCTCTCACAGTTGAAGTGTACCTATGATGTAAATTACTGACCTCTGTCATCATTTTAAGTGGGAGAACTTGCACAATCGGTGGCTGATTAAATACTTTTTTGCCCCACTGTATGACGCCAGGTAGCAGTTTTTCTTTAGGATTGAGAGGAGATCAAAAAATCCTGGAGGCACAGGCAATTTTTAGTAGATTTGTTTACTACTGATTCAATCAACATGAATAATTATCGCAATAATAAAGTATAAAGTTTATAAAAAGTCTATTTTAGAGGGGATTTTATTATTGCAGCAAATAACACACACATCTGCTTTATGTTTTATTTTTTATATTATTTTATTTTGTTAAGAATTTACTTGTGAAATAACATAAATAATGCACATAAACAGCATTTCTTTCCAAGAAAGGACATCCTAGCATCGACCTCTAAATGTCTTATGGCTCCTCCTGAGAGACAACATGATAACAAGGACACAAAAGTCTAAACGTCTCAAAACCCAATTATAAAACGTGTTAAAGGTTCAGAAACCTGAATAAATTAAATAGCTTTTCTTCCTCATTGTCTCTAAATGATGAACAGTTCTCCCATCTCAAAAAGAGATCCTTGCTCCCTTGATTGTTTTGGTAATTGATGAATGTTGGGACATAGCTCCTGTGGTAAACTGAGATCTGTACCTTCAGGCTCAGCACCACTCATTAAATTGTTCTGAAACATCATTTACATCGTCTGTGCTCCTTTTCACCCACAGTGACTCAGCTCCTGTGCGTCACTGGATTCTTCAGACACAGGTGTGTTTTGTATGATTTATGAAAAGACCTTATGAAAAATCATTAGGGATGCAAGAAAATATCGATATGGCAATATATTGTGATATTTTTACCAGCAATATTATATCAATATTCAAAAGCAGTGTATCTGAAATATCGATATGGCAATATATCGTGATATTTTTTTTACCGGCAATATTATATCAATATTCAAAAGCCGTGTATCTGAAATATCGATATGGCAATATATCGTGATATTTTTTCCTGCGATTATTACATCGATATTCTAAAGCCGTGTATCTAATTCTTGAAAGAATTTACATGCAAACTTTTGTGTATTTTCTTTTCGTTTTGTGCAAGACAAACTTAAGGGTTAAACAATCTCAGCTGGGTAAGCCAGGGAATAAAAATATGTCTTCAGACGTACTTTAAAGCTGGAAGGGAGGGGGCAAATCACTATTATCAGTTTGTTTATTGACTGATGTGATGAATCCGCCAGGCGCCAATGAACAAACAGAGCAAATGGATGGATAGATGGGCACTAAGTGACCATGAAGAGGCTCGTTGAAGCACGGCTAATACATTCCCAGCAAAGAATATCATCATTGCTAAATTTAGGCATGAGAGTGCAAAGAAACACCTTTTTGATTCATGCATGCTTCAGTTTCGTTTCTCAAAATCCAAAACAGATAAGATATTTGTACCGGAATAGGGTAGAAATCAGTGCCGCGTTTGCTCTCGTCTTCGTATTTTCCACCCTCACTGCTGCTGTCCATCGATTTGGAGGTGGTGTTCTTCCCCACACCCATCGCTGCGCCTAGGTCTTCTTTTTCCTGCTTTTCTTCGGTCCCTTCTGTGTCTCGCTCAGATATCAACACTGCAGATGAGTCCCTCAGTCCTGTGTCATTATCCAGGAGTGCCTCACCTGTTAAGAGACACAAAAACAACCCAGAAAAACATTTTGACTTGCGTAAAATTTTACTGTTAAAGTCTGAGAACATGAGCAGCTTCAGGTACTAAAGTTCCCAGATGTGAGGGCAACAACACCTGGATCTGCTTCTCTAGTTTCAGTTCCATGTTGTTTTTTCAGTTCTGTTTCTGGCAGCGGTGGTTACGATAACAAAAATCCACCTAAAAGCCACAATCTTTGGAAATTAGTGGACCTTATTCTGAAATATTTAATTTGAAGCCAAAAACATTAATCAGATTTGTTTTAGTTGATTCGCACATTTTTTTTTCCAAGTGGTTTTTTTTTTTTCCAAGTGGGAAAAAAATAAAATTCTAAAAAAATGTCATTTGAACTCTTGGTCCATTTTTCAGGTTAGTCATTTAAAAGGATAATGGTGAAAAGCTAACAAGAGATGAAACTAAGGCAACATTAAGAGCTTTTCCCAACAGGTCACGGTCTGATAAGACAAAAGAAGGGTAAGACTGAGAGGAGACGTTGTCCAACGAGTCTGGCGGTAAGGAAGAAGGAAGAAATCAAAATCCAGGGTTTGTAGTGTGGTGGTCGTGTCTACTTCCTGGATGTAACACATGTAATGTTTGTGTAAATCACAAGCAATTCAATGGTTGTCATTTTGACTTTGTAATAACTTACAAAATAATCTCATCAATAAAATACTTTGGCGTTTGTGACCAATTAAACACTCAACTGTTTGCATCAGTCAGTCGAAGGCTTCAGCATCTGGTTTAATCCTGAACATCAGATGCATTAAGCGTCTTTTCTCTCACCAACCTTTACTGAAAGCTCATGCTTTATGTTTTTGTGACGACTGCTGTGGACATTTAAATACAGGTCAAGCTCAGGTGAATCTCTTATTAAACATCAATTCCAGCAACTTTAGAAAGCTAAATTAGGAAAACCAACATAGCATTTGTGTTTAAATAAACTACAGACCTTCGACGACAGCTAATTTTGCCAGGAACATTAGCGGAAGCACAAATGCTATCACAAGGAGAGTTGAGCAAAATTAATGATGCTTACAGATTATCAGTTTCACGGACTGTTGAAAAGCTCATTTAGAAACACATTTGGATATTATACAAAAATAAGTAAGAACTTTAAAATATGTGAATAAACTGGACTGTTTAGGACACTGTAGCCTACACATGTGCGCATTAATACCTGTGTGCTGGCGTCAAGTGGTGTTAGGAAGTGGTGATTCAATGGTCGCCAACTGCATCTCCAATCATCAAAAATGATTGAAAATTCAAGCTAAATGATGTCATTTGTGATCGGAAACTCACAGCAAGGCTTTAAGGACCCAAAAAAACTGCAAATGTTAGTTTTCTTAGTTTTAACTATGTAGAAGATCGTAGGGCTGCTCAATTAATCGAATTTTAATCACGATTACGATCTGAGTTTTGAACAATTATAAAAAACAAAACAAGCCGATTATTTGCTCCTCCCACTTGCGCTGCCCCGAGTTGCAAATGAAGCGCTCCTCCCACAGTGTTACCAACTTGGCGACTTTGACGCTATTTCTAGCAGCTTTTCAGACCCCCTTCTTGACCTTTTAAATCTTAAAAGTACCTAGCGAACACCTCAGAAACATCTCTGGTAACCCTTAGCTACTTTCTGAATAACTGTCGTCGACGTTTCCTGCAGGTTAGCTAAACACTCCGCCTGCGCTCCGGACCGTTCTTCAGGACATTAGGAAAGGGAATGATGCAGTGATGTGTCAGTCGCTAAAGAAACGGCTCTCAAAGCCGGTTCCCTGTTGGAGTAACCAGAGAAAGTGACACACACACCGCACCTGCGGACTCCTGAGCCACTAAAAAACGGCTAAATGTGCGTGTGCGGCGCGCTAAACACACATGCAGCTTGCCCCTGATTGCTGTGAGACCGGGTTGGGGGGTGGGGGGTGCAGCTGTGGTTGGGACAATTATTACATTAACTGATGGACGACTTGTAAATAAACATTTTATAAATAAGGTAGAAATAAGTTCCTCACACTGATAAATAATGACTAACCTCTCTGAGGACACGGTGCTAGTGCACTCTCCTACAGCACCTTGACACGACTCAATAAATGTTATGCAATATTTTGTGAACATCAATTTATTTGCGTTTATTTGTTATAAATGCCACTGTATAATTCTTGCTGTCAGTATTTGCAAGATATTGGTATTTAGGTCTGTACTGGTTAGACTTAAATGAGTTAAACTAAACCCTTGGGTCATAAACTATGAGCTATAAGTATATTGGTCTTTTTATACTGGGAATCAGGAGTTCTTTTAGTGATCATCTTGTTTCTTATTTATTTTTGTCCTGATTGTGCCCTGAGCAATTTTATGACTGAATAAAAACAAATAAAATCAACATAAATAGAAAAATCGTCCTAAATAATCGTGATCTCAATTTCAGTCACCATAATCGTGATTATTATTTTTGCCATAATCAAGCAGCCCTAGAAGATCGTCAGAGCTACACATAAAACTAACTAAAGGACAACTACGTCCTGACAAAACTTTCAATTTTTGCCGCCCCTTTTAAAAAATATGGACCCTCTCCCTAGCCACTACCCCTGCTTGCAGTGTAAGATATTGGGATAGGTGCAATACCTAGCTGACACATCCCATCACTCCTGTCAAGCTGGGCGGCTGGGAGCATCTGTGTGAAGGGAGCAGGAGAGATGAAAGGAGGAGGAAGCGGAAGAAGAGGATGATAGCCACGATAAGAAGAGGGAGAGGAGGTATGAAGGAGAAACACATGGGTCAGGGATGGGGGGGGGGGGGAGACATAAGTTAATTAGACAGAAACCATTTAATCATAAACAAAAACGTATTAGTGTGACTGATGTGCTGATCATCACTTAATCAGGTGAAATATCGCTTCAGGCAGGCAAAAAAGTTGAGTTGAGTTTCATGATGCATCCTTCAAATTTGATGACGGCTGGAGAGAGACGACTAATTTTAAGAAGTCAGAAAAAGAGCTGAGGATCCCGTTAACATAAAATGAATCAACCTTGAGAAATTAAATTGGAGAACAGATTTTTTGGGGATTATTTGAAAACCGAAGTGAAAGTACAGACGTTCCAAGAGGATTTTGAGATAACTCAATTTACTGAAACTCAAGAAAAGAGGAAGGTCAGCTAATGCATAAACTGACCCCGGGTTTCCACGGGAGCCGTCAGCAGCACGTTACTGCAGCAGCACGTCTTGCTCGCGTAAGCTGCTGCTTGGCCCTTCCCACGAGACGCGAAGCAGCAGGGAGCAGCTGTCACCGACCGAGCACGAGTGACTTCGTCAGTAAACACAACAACAAGCAGGAGAAAACTACAACATGGTTTGTGTTTTATGTTCTGTCCGTATTATAATCGCCAATATGGACCTGAAAAACAAAGGAGACCGCTAGCTAGGTGATAACTTCTCACGGGGCCGCAGTTAGTAACCTTTTTTAAAAGTAAAGCAACCGGAAAGCAGTACGTTCTTTATTCTGAAAATCTCGGTAGCTTCTCTCCATTTCCGCGTTCGATTTCCTGTCTTTCCTTCCCCAAAAATGTCGAACTTGACCCGTTTCAGAGGCGTCGCGCGTAGAAAATAGAACCGGCGCGTAAAGGCCGCGACATGCTGCTCCTGAGACGCGGCCGACTCGCGCTGCTGACGGCTGCTGACGGCTCCAGTGGAAAAGGTTCTGTTGACCACAGCGGTTCCTATCAGCAGCTGTGACGTGCTGCTGCAGTAACGTGCTGCTGACGGCTCCCGTGGAAAGCCGGGGTAAGGTACACGTCTGAGGAAATACATGCACATGAAAATCTGAGGTTGAGCTTCACACCACGGAGTGAAAACACAGGAAGTAATGCGTGCTACCCAGCCAGAGGCTCTCCCAGCACTGTGCATCAGCTGTGAGATGTAGTCTGACAGAATATCCCAGAAGCCTTTGGGTGACTTAATTTCTGATGATGAGGCATGCGCCAACACCAGGAGAGCCATGCGACAGTAGCATAATATCCTCAAGTGCCCGGCTCCACTGTCGACCCAAGGGACACCAAGCCCACCTTGTCTGTGTTTTTTTTTTCTTTTTTTCTGTTGCTGGCTGGGAATCCGTCCTCACACAAATAACCAAAACACCAGCAAACAGAGAGCTAGAGAGGCGGGAAACTGGGGCGAAGAGGAATAAACAGATTACGTAAGAGATGAGAAATGTGCTGTTTCATGAACAAAACTTTACGTTACGTTAAAGAAACTTATTAAAAATGGAAGCAGAGAAAGTTTGTGTGTAAAAAAGTTTTCTTAGAGGACTGCTCATGGTTTTCTGTTATTTTAGAAATCATCTCTCTTAAACAGTTTAACACTTGTTTAGTACAGAAATTCAGTCATTTTATAACATTTCATCAAAAGTTTTCTTTTTGATGTCAAGATATTTTTCAATGGCATGCAACAGCTAAACTGTTGTGAAACCACTGACTTCATTCGAAACTGATGACCTCAAAGACACGTAAACATAGTGCGCGCGCGCGCGCGTGTGTGTGTGTGTGTGTGTGTGTGTGTGTGTGTGTGTGTGTGTGTGTGTGTGTGTGTGTGTGTGTGTGTGTGTGTGTGTGGAGCCAGCACGTGACGAAGCAAGATCAGCAGAATATATGACAGGGTACACACGAGGAGGCTCCATTTCCTCACAGAAGACAGAATGTAAAGCAGTAGCTAGGTCACGTTTACGCGGCTTCATTTCCTGTCGGAGGAACAGAGGTAATGAAGGTAAACTTGACTCTCCCTGCCCGAAGGTGATGGAAATTCTGGATTAGTAATAAGATGAAGAACAGAATTCAATCTTCTTCAGCTGATTTGAATACTTTGGTCATTGTCACAGCAACCATTATCCAAGCATTAAAATGATTTGAATCCAGTGCAAATCTTTAATTTAAAACCAGCTCCACACCCAGTACACCTGAGCCAGAAGCCTCGTTGCTTCAGCTTGGAACAAGGCAGCTAATTAGTTACCACTTTCAGTAATAATTCAGACTGAATAATTATAATTTCAATGCAAGAAAAAAGATATTTTTCCCATTTCATACAGTTCTTTCCTAAAACTTGTTAAAGTGACAGTGTGTAGTTTCCTGGCAGTACATACATTTTAGGGTAGTTTTACACCACATTGCCGTGAATGTTAGTCAAAATTCTAATTTGCAAAGTTTGTTCTAGAAACGCTCCATTGGAACCTCTGCGGCCCCTAGGGGCATTCTGGCAGGCCATAGGGGTTTCAAACCAACAGAGAGCTGTGACTGATTCACAATGGTGGGCTCTAGGGGCTGCATGACTTAATTTTTTTAAAGTCGACAGTCAAGTAATGAAAATCGAGTCGACTTTGACTAGTCGTTGATGACATCATACACCTTAAGCGGGGTGGTTCGCTGGAGTTTTTGACAATTAGAATTGCGCCCACATTTTCAAAGTTAAACACATTTATTTTAACAACGGTAGTTTCTGCATCTTTACTGTTCCCCTGCTTCAGCCAGCAGGCCATCAAAACGGATGCCCTCCACACCTTGGCTGTGCCTAGAAATCCTGTCCATAAAGGTTATGAACAGAATCGGTGACAAAGGGCAGCCTTGGCGGAGTCCAACTCTCACTGGGAACGAGCCAGACTTACTGCCGGCAATGTGGACCAAGCTCTGAAACCGGTCATACAGGGACCTAACAGCCCGCATCAGAGGGCCTGGTACCCCATAATCCCAGAGTACCCCCCACGGAGCCCCCCGAAGGACACGAACAAACGCCTTCTCCAAATCCACAAAACACATGTAGACTGGTTGGGCAAATTCCCAAGCACCCTCCAAGATCCCCCTAAGGGTATAGAGCTAGTCCAGTGTTCCAGGGCCAGGACGAAAACCACATTGCTCCTCCTGAATCTGAGGTTCAACAATCCGATGGACCCTCCTCTCCAGAACCCCCAAATAGACCTTACCAGGAAGGCTCAGGAGTGTGATCCCCGTGTAGTTGGAACACACCTTGCGGTCCCCCTTTTTAAATGAGGGGACCACCACCCCGGTCTGCCAGTCCAGTGGGACTGCCCCCGATGTCCACACGATATTGCAGAGCCGCGTCAGCCAACACAGCCCCACAACATCCAGAGCCTTAAGGAACTCCGGGCGGATCTCATCCACCCCTGGAGCCTTGCCACACAGGAGCTTTTTAACCACCTCAGTGACCTCAGCACCAGAGATTTGAGGGGCCAACCCAAAGCCCCCAGACTCTGCTTCCTCACTGTAGTTAAGTTTAGGATGGGGGTGAGGGGAAAGTTAAATTGCAAGAGGGTAAAGGTCACAATTCGGTCACATGTCCGTTTTACCGCAGGCGTCAGATACAGGCGCTCTGGCACAGCGTGTCGCCTCCCGACGCGTAGGGGCTCGTCACCTGCTTTCTTTTCCGAGGACTGCATCTTATCGGTCACTATCACGTGACAGCGACTAGTCTATGAAAGGCATAAAAAGTCACTATAGAGCAGTGAAGTTGACTAGTCGACTAGTTGATACAACCCCTAGTGGGCTCTATCTGCTTCATGGGCTGATCAAAGCCCTCTTTTGTTCTGGTAGGCGGGATGATGCGACAGAGTGAAACAAGATGGCGACAGCTCGTTTGAAACGGCTTTTACATCAATTTTGGACTATTTGAACTTAGGCTTTATTATAATCAGGAGCAGATAGATGTATTTAAGTTATTTATTTAGAAAAAGGATGTGTGTTTGCCTTCTTCAACAGTGGACCGCCCCATTTACTAACATCCGTTGCGGTGACTACGTCACGTTGTTCATTGTCCAGTAGCATGCGGAGATTGTTTTAAAGACAACGGTAGAATCCACCCCACGACCGAGAGCAGCCAATGGAGAGCTGCCACACTAAATAAAATTTATTTCGTAAATAATTGGGATGTCAAAATCGAAAATGTTCAATATTAGCGGTACGTTCTGCTTTAACTTCCATTACAGCAATTCTATCAGCACCCAGATCCAGCATGTAGAGTCCACATGATCAGAACAGTGTGTGTGTTAGCAAAGTATCAAGGAACAATGTCGGCCGTGTGGTTGTATTTTTCGTTGAAATCCGAAAAAGACAGTATGGCCCAGTGCAACACTTGTTATGCACAAGTTTCCTGTGGTGGAACCAAACTGGGGAAGATTATTACGTCCAACCTCATCGTGCATTTGAAGCAGGATCACAAAACATTGCATGAGGATTTTTGCAGAGTGTGAAATTGAAACTTTAGATGCTCAACTTGTAGTAGTTGGTCTAGTGCTGGTAAAAAAGTCTGGTAACACAACTTATTTTATCATGAAGCAAGGACATAAAATAGCTAGGGTTGCACTGACAATGTATTTTTCTACATTTTTAATGTCATCAACCATTATTGATATCAATCCGTATGAATTTTTGACCAATGCCATTTTTCTATATTGTCCAGCCCCCACACATACTGCAGTAACTTTGTTTAGTACATTATTGACATTTATTAGTGAATTTACTAAACACCATGAGCTCATGAACTCATCAGCTCTCCTCTGAGTTCAAAAGCAAACACACTGTAATCACCTGATGAAGTTGGAGGTTAGGAACAAATCCTACTGGTTCTGCCAAGGTTAGACCTTTTTTGGTGCACGTCCAGATCAAGCAGATACTG